GTATAACTTCAACTGCCATGAAAAAGGACAGGAAATTTCTATTTTTCCCTGATGCTTTGCCAATAAACCCTTGGGTCTGATAAAAACATTTCTTTGTTAACAGATGTTGAGCTCTGGAACACTTTTTAAAAGCCCTATTCTTTCATTAACCAGAGTACTTCCATACACAGCGTTGGAGTAAAGAGAAGGTTTAACACAGGAATACCTTCCTAAATAAATGGCCTCCAAGTGACAAAGGCATTTTGCTTTTCTTTGAATTCGCAGGCAGAGGCTGGGATTTGGAGCCAGGATTAAAGTCTGGATGAGTCATCTGCCACAGTGTGGCAATGACTCTTTTCTCTAGTCTGCACAATCGAGTCTCAAGCGGATATCTCCTTTTCATTTCTTTTCTTCTTCTTCTTCTTTTTTTTTTTAGCAAGAGAGAAAATAAATTCATTATTCTTTTTTTAGGAGGGTTAAAAAAAAGAAACACCATGCTATTGCCTAAAAATTGCTTATAGAATTTCAAAGAGTGACCTCTTCCTAGTTATAGCAGAACTTATGGTGGCAATGGGAACATATTAGCTTTTGAAGCAAAGAGCTTCAGATCCCCTTGGCCTTCCCATCTCTTTATTGTACTTTGGAGAATGGGAAGATCAGGAGTAAAGGAGTGTTAAATGTAACACCATTTCCCCTGAAAGCAATTAATATTTCTGGTCAGGTAGACTGTCACATGGCAGGAACCACAGTGACAACAGTGAATGATGAGAGGATGGACTCCAGGTACACCGAGGGGTTCAAAGCCTTGCTTTTTTCACAGTTGGCCGATTAAGTGATTTTTAAAGTTTGGACTTCTCAAGGGCAGAGGTTTTTCTTCTTTTACATTAGATGTAGTCTTTTCCTCATACTGTTCAGTTATATAATAGGGTGAGTACATGTGCAAAATTATGTCTTTTTAGTGTTAAAACACAGGATTATATCCTTTATCTTCAAAGTTATATTTTTCATGGTATTACTAATTTTGGACACAATAAAAACATAGCTTATTCTTAACTGAGTTTGTCAGTAAATATAGCTTTGGTTTCCTCTCCCCTTCCCTCTAAGATCCATATAATAGTTTGTTTACAACCTACCACCCTATCTCTACATGTTAGACTCCAAACAACTATATATTCTCTAGTTATGTTTCCCAGATTTTTCTGGCCTTGTTGTTTTGGCTAAAATTGCGTGCCTCTCCTTCCTTTGACCCATGTTGTTTACAGGATTTCACTTCAGTTTATCAGACAGCACCTGATTAGGTGGCCTTCTGTCATCCATTCCCCACACATCCCGCCTGGCTTTGGCAACGTGAGGCTGGCTGCCCTCCAGAACCTCATCATGAAAGCAGCTGTCCTGACAGGGGAAGATGAGTTTGGTTCATCTCTAAATATTTCAAGGAGTTAGACTTAATGCCACAGATAGGTCAAGGCTCAGTCACATTTAAAGTGTGACATGATGGCATCCCCCCAAAATATTTAGCATATCAGGCAGTGCTATTTCTTTAAAAGAATAAAGAACTTGAAAATGGGCAGATATGTTTTGAAATACCTGTTCTACTGTTTTTCCAGCTATGCAATGGAAACAGTAACTGTAAAGTTCCAAGCATGAGGCATGTTGCCTGGCACATTTAAGCAGGCTCAATAAGTTTTAGTTCTCTTTAAAAATGTATTAAATATTTACCATGTGCAAGGCAAACCTGAATAACTAGAGTACTAAATGGTACCAACATATTATGAGGTGGGTGCTCAGGATGTTTTTAGAAGAAATCCTGTTGAATTCTGAGCTCGAATACAGGCTAGAAAGTTTAAAAAAAGCCACATGACAAATTTAGGGAAATGAGATTTCTGTTAGTGGAAGCATAAGGTAAAGTTTCATGAGGGAGGTGGCACTTGAATAAAAAAGCTAAAGAAATGATTTCCTTCACTAGTGATGCTGATTTGGAATTTGCAAGGGTAGAAAAGGGTACTTAAGAGACAAGAAAGAAGCCCTGGCTGGCGTAACTCAGTGGATTGAGCGCGGGCTGTGAACCAAAGTGTTGCAGGTTCAATTCCCAGTCAGGCCACATGCCTGGGCCACATGCCTGGGTTGCAGGGCAAGTCCCCCAGCAACCGCACATTGATGTGTTTCTCTCTCTCTCTCTCTCTCTCTCCCTCCCTCACTTCCCTCTCTAAAAAATGAATAAATAAAATCTTTAAAAAAGAGAGACAAGAAAGAAATTGAACAAATGAAGTTAATGTAGGGCATGTTTAGGAAATCAGTAAAAAAGTTGGCTGGAGTATTGCCCATAGTAAAGGGAAGGTAGCAGATAATTTGGGAAATACAGGTTAGGCATATTTTGGAGGACCTGAGATCTCCACCTACAAGAGAAGCATGACATAGTGGAGGAAGGCTCTGGTTATGAAAGAGAACTCCTAGATTCCCTTCTAGGCACCTGGTAAAAGATGACAGAGCATCCAGGTTCTGGAGGTACATTGTTCTGGGTTCAAATCTCAAAGTTTCTACTTACCAACTCTGACCTTGAGCAACTTACATTCTCTTTCTAACTTCAATTTGCTTATTTGGTAAATGAGAGGATTACATTAAACTATGTCTCTTGAAGGATAAAGTTATTTGTTTATAAATTTGGTTGTTGAAAATGACAAAGGTTTTTCATAGAAAAGCTTTTTTTTAACGTTGGAATGTTTAAAGACTTGTAGATGAAATAATCAAATGAAGTAATTAGAGAACTCTTTAGTTTCCATTTCTTTGCTAAACCTTTATGATTCTAATGAAATATATCTTGTAATACCATCTAGGACAGTTTGAAGGAGTAAAAGACTCAAGGCAAGAAAATCATTCATATTTGGACTAGAATGAAAGGGAGATTTGAAGATTGTAGCATTCTTTAAAGGAGGAGGGAAACTCATGTGAAACATACTCAAGTGGTACAATGAAAAGAATTTGGCAACTGATTGAATATCAATTTCACCTAAGAAGCAAGGAAGTACTACCTTTTATTTACATGTTCTTTTATATTAAATCATGTGTGTGACCTGCTTTAATGATAACTTTTAATTTTGTATTATTCAGAGAGAGTTTTGACAGAGTTTTGAGTGGTGTGGATTGGTACATGTTATTGATCCAACAAATATTTATTGTGGACCTAGTCTACGGCAGACTATGCTCTAGGTGTTGAGAACAGAGCAGTAAACATGAGAGACAAGGTTCTTGCTCCTGTAGAGATTGGACTGTGATGTAAGGGGAGAAGAACACCAAAAAAATGAAGACTGCAGCATCTAGGGGGAAAAAAAGTGCTGCAAAGAATGTGAACTGAGCTGATATGAAAGGAATTACCTGGGCTAATGATAATCTCCCTAGGAGGACGCATTTGGGTTGAATGAAAGAAGGAGTCAGCAACATGGATTAGCAGGGCAAGAACATTCCAGAAAGAGGAAACATATAGCACAAAGGTAAAAGAATGGGGATTATGCTTCTGTGGGTTTCAGAAGCAGAGTGAGATAGGGAGAGAGCATTCCAGAAAGAGGAAACATATAGTACAAAGGTAAAAGAATGGGGATTATGCTTCTGTGGGTTTCAGAAACCCACAGAAGCATAGTGAGATAGGGAGAGAGCATTCAGTGATGAGAAGACAATACTCATACAATGCGTTAGTTCACCAGATGGGACCAACTCCAAAAATTCATTTCTAATATCTTCTTGGCTTTATTGAATTTTCACAGTCCAGTAAATAACATCCCTCACAGCAAAAGTAGTTAATAAAACCACATTCATTCTCTTTTTCCATTCTAACTTTGGGAATATGTTGAAACTCCCAATTTTTCAGAGAAGAGTGCTGGGGCCCACAACTCCTAGCTACTTGCTCAAGGTCACACAGTTTGTGAGTGGGAGGGCCAGAACACAAGTCAGGCCTTACAATTCCAGGACCAGAGCAGTTTCCACTTTCCACAGTGTCACTTTCCCTTGTTAGGTAACCCTGAGGGCTAACAAGGAGGTACTGACCAGCCCACAGGAGAAGAGTCTGTAATTGAGTAGCTGTTTTAACTGAAAAGATTGGTGAAGAGTCCGGGCTTATGTCTGAGAAGGTGACGCGTGCTTGCCTGCACTAGGGTTTAGGGGCAGAGAGGTAGTGGGGGAGTGCCTGTAAACAGAGAATCGGTAGAGTGAGTGTGTACTTATTTACCTTTGCTTAGAAGTCTAATCACAGCCCTTTGGTATAATAATATAAGAATTTGATGATTTTTCCAACAAAGTCGATTTTACACAATTGTAAATGGACTGAATGTACTGAATATGCCACAAGATACCATGGCATTTTTAAAACAAACATGATGTGTGGTAAATAAGCTGGTATTTACACATGGGCACCATATTAGCTATTTCTGCCCTTTGCCCCTCCATTAAGTTAACTGCCAAGCCTGGGCCATTAAAATCCAGGCTTCTTCCCTCAATTACAGCCACACATTAACTCTGGACATGCTGAAACTTTTTTAATAGAGCCATCTTCAGGAAAGATTATGAGCTTTCCTATGAGTGTATCCCTTCTTTTCTGTTCCCATCCTAAGCCCCCCCCCCCCCCCCCAACCGCCCAGCTACTTGCAGCTTTAAGTTCTGAACATGCTTATCTTGGAACTAGTTGTGGTCTCTATAGTGTACCCTAAATCCAGGCATCCATTTAAATGAGAGCCCTAGATATGGACTCACTGTACTCCTTTGCTTTCAGAGAGGAGCATTTGCTGCTTGCTGAGGGCTTTCTGCCTAATGCAGAGAAGGGCGAAGAAGTGTTGGCTGGTGTTTGGGAGCCCACTGAAAGTCGCTTGTGGCTTGAGGGGCTCGCTTTTTCTGGAGCTGCCAGACACTGCAGGCTCAACTGAGGCGCGGAGGTGCAATTCAGGCTGGTGTGGAACAGCCGGAGAAGGCAGGGACGGGCGGGGCTAGCGCAGCTCTGCAGCTGATCACACGCACCAGCACAAACACCGGCTCTCCAGTCGCTCCCACGGCCGCCTGGCATCTTCTACCTGGGCCACCGAAAAGGAGTAGAAAAACCGAGGAAGGGAGAAGCAAGGGAAAGCACAGTGAAGCAGAGGACAAGCTGGAGTGGCATTGCTATTTAACCTGAAAGTGACCAGGAGCTGAGGCTCGAACCCCTTACTTACAGCAGTGCCACTGTCGCCTGCTAGGAAAGCACGGCACCAAGGAACCCCCAAGTCCCGCGCCCAAATCAGTTTGTGCCCGGGGTTCCAGGATCTTTCTGGTGGGGGCAGCTTCGTGCCCTCTGGAAATTTCGGACCTCTAGGGACCTGCATTGGCACCCCCATCGTGGTAAAGCAGGAAAAGTGGGGGCGAGGAAAACAGCCCTGAGAATTGGGTGCGAGGCCAAGCTGCCGCTGCAGCCCGCTGCGCCGACTCCAGCGGGGTGAGTGCTCTGGTTTCTTGCACCGCCGCGTCTCCGCTGCAAGCGGGGGCGGCCTGGGGCTCTTGAGGGTCCGCTGAAGGGACCTGGTGGCGCCCACGGAAATTCAGCGTCAGGCGGACGCCAGGCGGACAGGTCTCTGGAGTCTGAAGCGGGCGTGGGCAGTGGGTGTTGCACTAATCCTCGGCAAACATGCCTTTGGGAGGGATTTTGGCTAAAAGATAGGAGGCGGGAGTGCTGGGGGCAGCCGAGAGCAGCCCCGGGGTCGGGAGGGGGGCGGGCGCTCCGGGAGCGGCGGGGAGGGGGGAGGGTCTGGCCCAAGCAGGTAGCGAAGCTTCGGCAGCCTGGCGAGTTGTCAGGTGGCGTGGAACTCGCTTGCCAACTATACATTTTAAAAGAGTCAGTATGGGAGTGCTGCAGGATAGTCAGTAGGGCTGGGGGAAGGCAAGAGGTAGCCCGGGATGCCTGTGGTGGGGGGAGAAAAGAGAAGCCTCGAAAAGCTTGGAGGCAAAATTGCGCTTGTGGTCTTTGCATCCCTCCAGCCCTGAGCGCGGGAGAACACTTTTTTAAGACTCAGCTTGGAGGAAAGCCTCCGTCCCAGGGGAGCAGAGGCGTCTGCAGAGACTGCGGCTACCTGCCGGGTGCGCCCCCCAACCCAGGCGGGCTCGTTTTTTGTCCCCCCTTTCTCCCCCGCCCCCACCTTCTTATTGGTGCTGGTTTGCAGCGCTCGGCTCCTGCGCCTTCACTTCGCGTTTGAATCTGGCTCGCCCCTCCGTATTATGTCTGCACTCCGAAGGAAATTTGGGGACGATTACCAGGTAGTAACCACCTCGTCCAGCGGCTCGGGCTTGCAGCCCCAGGGGCCGGGCCAGGGCCCGCAGCAGCTTGTGCCCAAGAAGAAGCGGCAGCGGTTCGTGGACAAGAACGGCCGGTGCAATGTACAGCACGGCAACCTGGGCAGCGAGACGAGTCGGTACCTCTCGGACCTCTTCACCACCCTGGTGGACCTCAAGTGGCGCTGGAACCTTTTCATCTTCATCCTCACCTACACCGTGGCCTGGCTCTTCATGGCGTCCATGTGGTGGGTGATCGCCTACACTCGGGGTGACCTAAACAAAGCCCATGTCGGCAACTACACACCCTGCGTGGCCAATGTCTACAACTTCCCCTCTGCCTTCCTCTTCTTCATCGAGACCGAGGCCACCATCGGCTATGGCTACCGCTACATCACTGACAAGTGCCCCGAGGGCATTATCCTCTTCCTCTTCCAGTCCATCCTCGGCTCTATCGTGGACGCCTTCCTCATTGGCTGCATGTTCATCAAGATGTCCCAGCCCAAGAAGCGTGCCGAGACCCTTATGTTTAGTGAGCACGCGGTGATTTCCATGAGGGACGGAAAACTCACGCTTATGTTCCGGGTGGGTAACCTGCGCAACAGCCACATGGTCTCTGCGCAGATCCGCTGCAAGCTACTCAAAGTAAGTGCGACCGGCCCCCTTCCCCACCTGGCAACCGCCAACCCTCCAACCTGAGAACCACCCCAGCCCCCTAGTCTTACCTTTTGCCACAGGTAAACTTCCTTTGGGGAGGGCGAAGCTGGACGCTTGGGCAAAGAAAGCACAGTGGATTCTACTGTTATTTTCCCACTCACTCCGGTGCTCTTATTTATATCCATCATTCCATTGTGCTTGTATCGCTTTCTGCACTAGTGACACCTAAGGTGTGGTGGCGGTTCCTGGAGGCCAAAGGTGAATGAGTTTGCCCTGTTTTCTGCATTACCCTTGTTGCTTTGCTTTTTAGAACTCTTTTGATTTGTTGTCAATACTTCATTAACTTTGGTTTATGAAAATTGAGCACCTTTGATTTTGAAGAAATAGGTGCTGAACCTCCCCCAAATTTTTACTTAAGGCTTGCCTTCCTTCCTTTATTGTCACCCATCCCCGCGCCCAATAATATCAACAATATTCCTCTTCACCCAATAACATCGAGTCTATCTATGGCCATGTTTTTAATGAGCATGCAGACCTGAGAAACAGTTAATAAAATGAAAGAAACAACACCTGGTTCTTTAAATTTTTTATTTTTACTAAATATTTTCCTAGAGAAGTATTTTGTGAAAGCTTGAGTGCTTTTCCTGTAGAGCCTCTTGTTAATTTTATTCTCAATTGCCTATTTCTATGAAGCCTTTGTCAATTACAGATTTCACTTGAAGCTTTTCAGCATCCATTAAAGAAGATTGCTTCCCTACCATCAGCAGTGTGGATGCTAAAACAAATTGCACCTAGAGTGGTTATTAAAGCAAGGTTCATCTAGTCATTAGAGGGCACTGCTACAAACAAGGAGAGAAGCCCACCCTGATCACTCACCAGATTAGAGTCTGGAAACAAGATATAACACCGGTTCTCTAGGTGTTATTTACAATTCCTGTTCTTGAGGGATTTACCTTAGGCAGTTTTCAAGTGTTCATACATTTAAAAAAGATAACCTCAAAGAAAATCTTGAAAATTTATCTCAGGTTTCATAAGGAACCAGTTTCAGAATTGAGCATTAATAAAATGAAAATCTGGTAAATGTATAAGCTGAGGTTTTTGCTTTTGAAATTTCAGTTTCCACTCTACAAGTATATATTGTTTTACACAACCTCAGCTTCTGTTGTAATTAAAAGTTATCCAAGGTGCTCTTAAAAAGTTTGACCCTTTTGTCATTTTCATTGTTCATGTATAAGATCTTAACCTAATGACTCTTGACCATGTGGTTTAGTAAGTTGTTAGAATTAAAGCAGTTCAGCGGTCCTGTCATTCCACATCCTGTGCGTAGTAACTATGCTGTGGACAGTGTATAAACTAAAGTTTGTATGGCAGAGTGGAAAAATTTTCCAACTGATTCTGATTAATATGTTCATTAAGATAGCTATAAATAAATATTTTGAACAGATTACATTTTGTGTAATTAACTGCAATGAGCTGCATGCATTTTTTTTTATTTTAACTTTGAATATTGCCCACTGTTTGAACTGAAGGAGTTGCTTGGGTCAGGTGAAGCAGTTGTGTTGTAGACATGTTCATCGCAGTGGCATTTGTTGTGCGTGCTTGTTTCTATGAATACAGCAAGAGGTGTAATCCCTCTCTCTATGATATTAGGCCCATTGCAAAGAGAAAAGCACTTTGTTAATACAGTGCAGAAGTCTCTGTCAAGGAATCTGTGTTTGTGTGTCACTTTGTCGATTCTTATTGAAGGAGTAGATTACCATATTGATTGGTCTATTGGGAATTTAAAATTAGACTTTAAAGATCAGTTTACATTCTGTTCTCAGGGTTTTCAAACATATAAACTCATTTATGAGAGCAAATATTCTTTCAAGCCAACATATTTTCGATGTTTTTAAAGTTTATTAAATTTTAACAAAGCCAGAAATAATTAGCATTAATCTACATGCCAGTTCTTTGCTGTTTGTTTTTGTTCTGTCCTCCCCCTATAACCCCCCCCTCTTCAGGTACAATGAATCTGAATTATTTAGTCTCTACAGTGGTTCAGAACACTGATAATGATTTCTATGTACAGGACCATGTACCACATATACCTGAAAGAATGTCCTGACTGAAAAATAAAAATAAAAGATTTATAGTGTTGGCAAATTTGGATTAAGGTGCTATATCAACACAAGGTGATAAAAACAGCAACATCTAATTAAAATAATATATAAAATATTCCTATTAAATCCTTTGCTTTGTATTTGTTAGGAAGTTATCATTGCTAGAAGTTAAAATGATTGACATGTTTTGTCAATTTATACTTAAACAAAATTATGGTGAAATTTTGTCTTGCATTTTGTGAAGTGAGGAGTCGATTAGTCCCCTAATCAGCTCTTCAGCCAGCCAGTTAGTATAGTTTGTTTGAAGTTGATTTTCCTTGTAGCCTTGGAAATTTAAATGAATTTTCATAGTTTCTACATCATTTTCTTAGACTTTATTAAAAAGGAGTCATGTTTTGTTAGGGAACTGGTAACATTCAGCAACATTGGGTGGGAGATTTCCTTTTAATAAGTTTCTCTCATTCGTTTTTGTTAGGGACTGACATGAAGTGACCTAAAACAACCGACTGTGTATTTTAAGAGAGGCTATACCAAAATCATATAATGGTACTATATTGACATCAGTCTTACACAGTCTTCTTCTTAAATATCACTACACATATTCAATTTCCTCCTAAAACCCCTCTTTGACATTTTAAATATAGGATTTATGTATCCTTAATACAGAGAATTATACAGAATTTTAAGGAACTGAAGCCCATTATATTTAATGGTACCAATTGTAGCTTATGTATGTTATTCCTGTTAACCTAATTTAATTTGTACAGGGTTGGGCAAAAGTAGGTTTACATTTGTGAGTATGTGAAACAGTGTTTATTCTTGCATTATTAATTAATTATTGTATTATTGTACATACAAACAACTGTAAACCTACTTTTGCCCTACTTTATATTTTTATTGCTGTTTTTTCATTTGTTGAATAAAATTTTATTTTTTGATATTAATATAAAATATCTATTTAATGACTAAAAGGCATTTTCTATTTTGGGGAAGATTTAAGAACATGGATATGACTTTCTAATCCTTGCTACTATAAAAATTTCCATGTGTATTTTTTGAATTCTTGAAGTTTTAATGAAAGTTTTAAAATAACTTTTCTGCACAATTTTTAATTGTTATTTACTTATGTGAAAGCAAATTTTATTTCAACTCTATTCTTGCCTTCTAAGCTTGCAAATACTGACATTTATTTCTATATTCAAATATAGGTTTTCCAGTGTTATGCCTGGAGTAGTCGGTCCTACTTCTTCTCAGAAAATAAAAAAGGAAAAACTAAATAAAAATAAAACAATATAATATAAAGTTATTTTTTGGCATTAAAATACATAACTTTATCAGCTCTTTTGAGATGAATATTCTACTTTTCCTCTTTTGTCTCCATGTTGAATTTTTATTAGAATTTTCAATTCATTTTATTTGTCTTTTTTCTTTTTAACCTAAAGCAAAGGGACTAATGAATAGGATAGTCATATTAAGTTAATATATCATCTAGTTGAAAGTTGTAATAAAAGTACCTGGATTAGGAAGTTGAAATTAATAGCTAAAAGCTGGACCTGTTATTTATTGTTGGGTATAAAGGATTCAGAAATTTCACTTACACCTTTCTACAAATCTAATGCTAAAGGTTGATTGCCCAGATTTACATCTTGTTAAGGAAAATTTAAATAATTCTTTGATATGTTATTCAAGAATTGACAAACTTATTATTCACTAGTCATCATATATGTGTGACATATAGGCACTCACTTAATCCCAATTTACATAAAGTAAACATAAAATCAACTACTGTTGGATCTTTATTTTGAAATAAGAGATTAGGAGAAATTTTGCCCATGAAAGTGTAATTTTATTTCTTTATGATTTTATTTATTGCAGATAGTCTGTCTTTCTTTCCTGGGAGATCAGTTGTGCCGCCCTTAACTCTCACTTATTGGACAGCAGTGGTGGACAGTCGTCTTCTAGTATATCACATACATTATTTTTGTACTCATTTTTGAAATCCTTAATTTGTATGGATACTCACAACTGGCTGCTATCTGGTTTCCTCATATAAATGTGCTCAAGTGAAGATGCAATAAAAAACAAAACTATTGTCTGAAATACCAATAAATTCTTCATCTTCTTTGTATGTCTTAATATTATATTAAACTTTTAACCACGATGATTTCTGGACACATGATTCCTAGATTTTGTTTTCATATATTTACTAGTTTCTCTTCATTTCATACTTTGCACTTAAATGCAATCATGCTTTTGACTTTGTATGACATTATTTTGTATGATTGATTCTTTTCACTGATTGAGCTAATTTGCACTTTAGTTTTAATCTTGAGATAATTAGCTAACTTCTTAAAAAATTAAAGCCATAAATACCTATCACAAAAATAATTTTTTCTGATCATCATATGAGCTGCTAATAAAAATACTCAGGGAGTCTAGAGCTAAGTCTCCGAAAGTTCTTGGAACTATATCTTATAATGTGGGTGATTTTTTTACATAGATTATGACTTTGTAAAAAATAATTCTTGTTTAGTCTAGCTTTGCATTCTCTGACACAAGTACAATAATTCCAATAGACATAGAACTTGTGTTCCTTTTAAAATCTATCATTATTATTATTTTTAAAAATAGTAGTAACATGTTTTGTTTCCTTTTGTTCTTTATTTTTAATATAATACTGAAAAGTACAGGGTGGCTTGTACTCAAGAGAATACAGTGTGAATAGAAGTAAGGGACATAAAGACCCAGAAATAAACAGCAGTAGGTCAGGAGTAATGATAAAGAGAAGCAGCAAAAAGCATTTGATGAACCTGAGAGTGTTTGTGAGTAGGAGGGAAATGTGCGTTTAAGATACAAATTCTGTCCACAGTTATTGTAAATTCTATA